CGCTCCAGGCTTTGCCTCAACTGACATACGAACTTTTGGGAAGTGCTTCGTCGGAACGGTGACATAGCCCCTGCAATTTCAGAGAGAAGACACATCGCACACGCCGGGATGCAATATCACGCGCCTGCCCTTTGTGCCCCTCAACACGCTTACATGCTCATGTATTTCGCAACAGGAAGGGTGTCCATGAAATCAAACCTTGATGGACAAACAAACGCCAGCCAGTCAGACACTTGCCACCATTTCGCAGTCGGACGAACCTACCCATTGACGAACTGGCCTCCCCGGAGGAATGTCGCGTGGTAGTCGTCCAGGTTGAGATACGAGACGTTGTTCTGCCATCGAAAGCAAGACATGACCAGTCAAGGACCTCCTGCCTCCCTGTTGGTCTACCTGCAGGTAGAAGATGTCACCCGGCAGTGGCGGGGGGTCCAACGTGAAGACGCCATTCTTCTCCCTGATTGTAGTCTCCTTCTCTGCCTCGGTCAGCTCTTCCTCTGAGAGGGACGGCTTTCGCTTCGTCGTCTCGTTCGTTTGGTTCATGTCGGAGAGATAAAACCTCCATTGCATTCCGCCGAGCTTCTGACCATCGGCTGTCCTGATACCCTCTCGCACTTTGACTCGCACCATCTCACCCCTTGCGAAGTCCTGGAAGCTTCGGAAGACGACGGTCTTCCCATCTGCACGTGAAGACGCACACGACAAGGGGCAGATGACCACTTGACGAGCGTTGCCTTTCTTACCCGCGGCGAGCACCAGCTTGCCCTTGGCCTTCCCTGACTTGTTGCCGCGGACCCTCAGCTTGCCTCGGATGGACCCCGGCTGGAGGCTGCTTCCCTCGCGAAGGGCTATAGTGGTGAGGGGCGACACCAGCCCGGCCTCAGGCCGAGGATGAATGTACCTGACATAAGCAGACAGTGGAAATGTGCGAGGGCAAGCACGAAGAGGAGGGCTTTACTCAAAGGCCCCGAAGCGCTTGTGTGTCTTGGCGCTGTCAGTGAGCTTCAGCCCATGAGGCACATCAGCACGGCTCACGCCAAAGAGAGAGCACAGGGCGAGAACGCACCGAAGCATGTCCAGTCAACAGGGCTGCCAAAAGGAGGCGCGTTCTGGTTCAAGCTGACGTCCACAGGACAGGAGTCTCCAGAGAAGGTCGTCCTCTCCCTACGTCGGTTGCAACCGTCATGTGTTCCATGCGTTGACAGCGTTGACAGGTAAGCAAATTTCCTCGCGGACTTCATAGATCCTCGGAGATCCCATCGAAATTCCGTAATTCCGGGCTCGCGGAGCTGCATGCCAGCTGCACAACGGTAACAAAGGCTGAACTGAGAGTCCATTTAGGGTTCAGGGTTAGGACAACAAAGGTTGCGGAAAACCCAAGGGACAATTGGGGGAAAGGAAAAATGTTCTCGTTGACGAATGAGTCACTTAACCCGCAGGGGCCCGTAGGGCCTGACGATCGCTACCGGCCTCCCCTCCTCTACAGACTTCGTGCACAAGAAGAGCCGCCAGCGGTTCAGAAGAAGAAAGAGGAAGAAGAACGAGAGGAGAAGGAGCTAGGTGAGGTCACACCCATGGTGAATGAACGATGCGGTTGTTGTTCCTTCTCCTTTCACAGCGGACAGATTGGCGTCCGATCCTGTTTTTGCGGAGAACTTCCGTCTCTCCCGCTTGATGGAACGTGAGTAGACCGCATTCCAGCTCGTGAAAAGGCAGAACCGACCGATGAGTCGATTCATGTGGCTTTTGCCCTGTCTGTGCCATGCAGTTGAGTATGTGTTTGGCCAGCACATTGAGGAGCTAGACTCGAATTGCTCTGAAGTTGAACACACATGCATTTGTGTACGCAAGACATGTGCTCTGTGTCTGCCTGACTGCCTGCTTGTGTGCGTGTTGTGCAGAGCCAGTTCTTACCAATCGACCACAGCGGTCCCGCCACGTCACGCCCCCAATGCCCTCCTCACCTCTGCTGCATGCAGCCACGCCAGCCGCCAGTGATTCTGGATCGGGTGCATCCACCCCTCGGCCACTCGGCCGTCCCTCTGTGGGCTGTTCGCTCTGTTCTTCGAAGGCCGAGCCGCTCATCGTACACTCTGATCCTCGGCGCAACTCGCATGTAGTGGAGTACCACGCGTTCCCTCAACCGGTGTGGCGGCGGCTTTGGAATTTCTTTGCTGCCCTACCTGGGCGTGTGATTAACTGGTGCCGAACTGCGTGGGAGGGCATCGTTTCTTGGTGTAGCCCGTGCACCTATGCCGCAACCAAGAAGACACAGTAATCTCAGCGCCCAGAAGAAATTTCAGCGCATGAGTCAGCAGCTGCTGCAGTCGCCGCGTCCATCCGTGTGCCAACGGCTATGTCTCCGTGCCCTACCGGCGAGAGTGTGTCGCTGGTTTCGCTGCTCTCTCGCGGCCTTTGAGTGTTTTCTTTTTTGACTTGTTCGAGGGGCATTTTCCCTTCTTTTCTCACGTAGTCTATTTGCCGATTTGCACCCTCCGGGCCGACGGATGCTCCACGTGTCTCGACGTTTCGTGTCTGGGTGGGCTGCATGACCTTGGCCTGTCAGCGGAGCGTTTGTGAGAAAGGTACGAGATGGGCTTTTCTCCTCCCTGATATTGCGATGCGGGATTATTTCTTCCCCTTTTTCTATCCTCATCATGGGACCTCAGCCTTGGTCTCTTCTGTCCCTCTCCCTCGTTTGAGTCCGCCCTGCTCGATCGCATGCGCCTCATGTCTCGGGGAGATTGGGGGACTCACGTTGCGGAAATACCTTTTAGCCGACGTTTTCGGGGGAAAGTACAGGATAAGGCGCAGGCGACGCTCGGTCAGTCAATCACTTTCGCGTGCAGTGCAGTGCTTGGGGCGAGGGTGTCTTTTTGACGTGTACTCAGTGAAGGCCAAGTGTCCCTGTGTGCCTTCCCCTGGATCATGGGTGTATGGTGAGGCGTGGTTGTGATATGCATATCAATCAATACTGAGCGGATGATTTTCTTTCCTCATTGATATCACACGCATGGCCATGGATGAGAGAGGTCCTTCGTGTCAGCCATTTTCGACCGTGAATGGATCTTCAAACAGCGTCTTGAATGAGTCGGGGAGGGCAGGCTGCGGTGGCACTCGCCTCGGAAGGGAGGGCTTGCCAATTCTTGCTTCCACTACGAACACGAACAAATGAGGGTGTATTACATATCAAGACACGCGGCTGTGTGTTCGCCTCACTTTTGTCGATCGATGACATGAGGTTACATATGAGAACTGGGCAGTCGATGCGACTTGCCTCTCTACACAAAAAAAGACATTATTGACGTTGCTCACTTGCAAGCGTCCGCATTGTTTACCTTCTCGCGGTGACAAGCCATAAGCGACACTTAGAAAAATCACGATCGCCCTCGTAGATGCTTGCCACCTCCAGCTGTGTGTACGCAGCCACCCAGTCAGCCTGGAGTGAAAGGGAACACAGGCATGACATTGTCTCACGCATTTTCGCACGGATGTCAGCTACAGATACCTGGATACTGCTCTGCCGCTGGAGTATTGGAAAAAGGAAGTGCTTTTGGCGGTTCTTGTGCCACATGATGTCCCTGTCTGGTGCAATGGAGTAGCGCATCTCTCTTGCCACAACTGATCAGAAGGCGACACGTCCAGTCCACAGACAGCAACTGTGTGCCTGTCATACCTAAGAGCAGCCCTGCGATGGCCCATTGATTGATGCTGTCCCTAGATTGGCGCAGCTCCGATTCAAGCTAAATGAGACAGAGACACCAGAGTCGGTGGCTTTCCTATGTCTGGTAAGAATGTACCTTGTGAAGGAACCGCACTATTGGATCGACAACCATGAAGGCAGAAGGCCGTTGAAGAACTTCAGCAGATGCTGCTTGCACAGAAGCCACATATTGACAACGGTACGTACGAGCCAGTGTGTATGTTTACCTTCTGCATGAGCAGCTCCAGTACCCACGCAAGCTGTGCGTCTCGCATTCTGCGAGACGCACAGCTACAGAGACACTTTCTCAAAAATCCCTCTGCCTTAAATGTCACCAAAAACCTGGCCGTCCGGCGCTCTGGCCGTGAAGCCTTTCGCGTTCTTCGGCAGCACAGTCATGTACAGACATAGTGTACATAAGCGAATTGTACAGAACCGCTCAGTTTGTTGTGCATGTAAGTGATGCCATCCGCACTTGCCTGCACTGGAAAACATCGGAAAGAAGCTGCCACCGACCAATTGGCCGACGTGGCCACTCTGCGGGTGAATGGGTGGATGGGTCGTTTGCTGTATGTTGGTAAATCGGTCTTCTCATTTGACTGCATCAAGAACCCTGATTGTTTGCTGCACGAACTGTGCACACGAACTGTGACCTGATTGTGGTACTTGCGTCACCTTACATATGAAAAGCACCACCCTTATCCTATCTACCCATCTGTCCGTCCGTCCATCCACCAATCACCTCTCACCCACATTCAATTCATCAGCCCCCTCACGGCTGCACAACGGGCACTCACTCTTCACACTAGTAGTTCTTCCCCGCGCTCCGTTGGGGCTGAATGAGCGCGTCGAACAATCGCAAAACCACGTTCTTTCTGGCGATAGGCTTTAGGGCAGGAGGACGACCCTGACACTGATAGTCAACACAAGAGCGTGTTCAATCAATCACCTTCATTTTCTGTGCTTTGCCTGCCTCTCCCGGCCTGCCTGCTTTACTCCCTCTGCCCACTCTCACTCACCAGGTACTCCTGGAGCTCCTTCTCGGCTCGATCAGCGGGCAGCTCGAATACGTACTCCTCGTCCTCGAAGAGCTTGTGCGCTTCCTCGTCCCACTCTGTCACCCCCAATGCGCCCTGAGGGATGGCCCACACAATGCGCCACTTGGAGCAAGACGCCATCGCCGGGCTTGCTCTCAATCTGTCGATCAAGCCCTGATTGAACCCGCTGGCGCTGTGCTCCCTGTCTGCACTGACTTGGATGAGGTAGACAGTGTCACCATCGATGTAAAGCGAGTCGATGACCGGCCAGTTCTTGTCCCTGCGAACCCAAAACCCGGGCTGCCCCACCCTGTCGTACCCCTTGTTGAGCTCCGGCTGACCATCGTTGGCCTTATTGCCGGAGAACATGCGCGCCACCCTGCCCTGCCCTGTCGTGTCAAACCGCACCTTCAGCAGGTTCCGCTGCTTCTCTTGAGCGGTCACCATCCTCAACGGCCGAGGCATCTTCTTCACGCGCGCCTGGTGCTTCTTGAGGGTTTCGAGGTAGATTGGGGCTTCCGTGACAGCCAAAAAGAGGTGGACGAGCTCCTCAAGTGGGTCGCCTTTATCGCCTACTGGTGCGGGGTCCATGACAAAGTCGAGTTGCGCCCTCAGTAGTTGCTCTCCTGCCACTTTCTGCAGGAACTGCTTGAAAATTTAAGGCGACCGCCACACGACTCTCCCACCGAAAGGCGCCCAGCTGTTGGGGTGGAGGGAGAGCAGCACGTTCTGAGGGATATCGTCAACGTGAACGCCTCTCGGACTTTCTCCTGTCCAGTGTCGGACATCGTCGAACGTGATGCCCTGAAGAGCTCCTTCAAAGCGATCCTTGAGCGAGGCCGGCGTCGCAAAATAGTCGCGAATAATGCCACCCGCATAATCCCTGACCTCGTCCAGCTGATCCAGCCAGGAGGTGCCCTTTTAGGGCCTCCTCGACTTCATCCCCAGACCAGATGGGCATAATGAGATTGCAATCCATGGTTTTCTTGAATATGTTGTAGTTGTCATGGCGCGACGATGCCGCCAGCACCGCGCGTCCCCTCCACATAGACCATAGGTATCCCTCGTGGCCGTCGATGAGCAGCCAGTTGAGGGGATCTTGCGCCACACCCCTACCTCGATACACCTGCTCTATCTCCGACGCCTCCACATATTTGACGGCTCCGTCCTTCGTGAGCGCATAGACTATGCTGTCCTTGCGGAATCCGACATTGTCCACGTACCAGATTGTGAAGTCCTTGCCGTCCTGCATCTTGCCTTGAGAACGGCCAAAAAGAAATAGAGGAACCACGACAAGCCCACCTGATGGTTTTCATCCACAGACAGAGAGGGAAGTGAGCACATAGACGTTCCTTGTGCAGGCTTGCTGCATTAATTATTTGCCCACCCCAGAAGAGCCACGCAGCAAGGTTTGACAGGACAGCGTCCCATCAGGCTTGTTGCTTAGAATGATGTTGGCGATATCGATGTACGCCTTTCGAGCCTCTGGTCTCCCGGGAGAGGGATCTCACCGGGCACCAGCCCGTCGCCTGCTGCGTCGAGCTTGATAGCCTCGAGGTTGGCCCACAGGGTTTGGATGTCCACAGGGTTGGCAGCGCGACCTTGAGGGGAAGAATGTAGCTGAACAAAGAGGATGGATCCACACTGGTATAAGTGTCATATGCCTTCTGCCGTTCAAGTGCTGTATGCACGCACCTCTGTTCTCTTGTAGATGGGTTGGCGGACGTGGCGATGCGCACGGAGGCCCAAACGCACCGCAGTGGGCTCAATGAACGCGGCACCAGGGAGCTTGGGCCTGCCGGCATTGGCGGCGACGAGGAGCAGGAATGCCAGCAGTGCTGCCATGACTGCAGATCTGTGGACGAACACGTGGACGATGATGCTGTTTCTCTCGAAAAGGAGGGAGCATCCGGACTTCCCGTTTTTGTCTTCCGCCGACTTGCCGCCGACCCGAACTCACGGAAAAACCAAGAGGAGGAAGAAAGGAGGAAGGTCTGGAACGCGCGCGAGAATTGTCAGGATTGCCAGCTTGGCAAGACGAACCACTGCGAGCTTGTGAGCTAGGGTAGATTGCTGTGTAACGGAGAGAGAGAGGAGAAGACAAGGAAAGCATTCTAAGGAGACACGATCTTATCAGCCATCACCGAAGTGAGATCTGTGTTGACCACCCTTCATGATGCCATA